TGCATTATTTGTTCACCCAATATCAAATTGTACCGAATATAGTACTATTTAGTATTTTTCATGCCCTTGTAGTACACATTACCGAAACAACCACTTTATGACAAATCAACCACCTTCATCCGTTTACCCTAAATCAATCTGTTCCAAATTCAGTACCACTAAGTGCACATTTCAAAAACTACTTAAATGTATCAAACATAATTTCCAACCACTCCATCAGTGAATCTCTCATCAAATTTCTAGCTCGTTCCATTTGTATTCAAATTTTAATACATTTTTTGAACTTTTCGTAACCTTTTAGTAAGAGTTTCCAAAAACTCGACCTTAACTCACGCCCACGCAAGAAGACTATCCCTCGTGATTCTAGCTTCAGCGGTTTCGTCTAGGCGTTGGTTCTAGGTCGGTCAGTTATAGAAGATTATTAATTTATTTTCGGTTTCGTCCAATTTTTTTGCTGCCTCAAACTTTATTTTCCAATTTTATTCATGTTTTTTTATGAATATAAAAATTGGTTTTAATTAGTCCTGTTATAGAAAATACCAAAAGTTCAATATGGGAAATATTGCGACACAATTTCTTTGCATAGAAAAAATTGTGTCCCAATATATTTTTGCATTCCAAAATAAATGGTTCAACAGCATATTTCCACTTAAAAATTTCCGGGTTACTGTTACACAACGTTTAACAATTTAAATTATGCCCAACAAGAAGAATCAGGCAAACTAACAATGCAAATTGACATTGCAAATTGCATTAAAAGATGTTGGCAAAACTTTGTCATTGTTTGCTGGTGCTGCTGTTGTTGTTGTCGTCATCATTGTTGTTGTTGGTGGTTGGTTGGTTGGCTGCCTGGCATTGCGGTTTGGTAATATCAACATCGTCACTTTAGCGAAAGTCTTTTGTTTTTTTGTTCGCTCTACACCACCCCCATCCCCATTCCCAACACAACTCAAACCAAAACGAGAAATTTTGATCAAAACAAAAAAAAAAAAAATGTCCTCATATATGATCTCCTTCATTGCACCGAACCACACACTCATACACACACAAAGAAACAGACAGACATAGTTTTCAAGCGGCAATCTGTAATATGTCGGCAACTTAGTTTACATAGCTCTCTCTCTCTATCTCTCTGCCTGTTTGCTGGTTTCTCGTTCATTTTTCTTTGTCACAAAATTTTGCATCTGTTAGAATGTTAAAAGTTGGTTATTGGTTGGTGGTATGGCTGATGCCTGATTGTTATTGTTTGCCTGGCTGCTGACTGGCTGTGCATGTCTAGTTACAGAGTTATTTGTTAGGCTTTTCGTTGGGATTTTTCGCGCCGTGCAACCAACACCTCCTGCAAAGAACTTTGTCAATTTGCAAAGACTTAAGAAGAAGCTGAATGTTTTTCGTTAAAAAAACTATTTTCTCTGTTTCGGTGTGTGTGTGTGTGTGATAGCCTTAAAACTATTGACCACAAAAATAAAGTTATTTTTCGAGAAAGTCACTCTTCTTCCCCAACCCCCCTCTAAGCAGGAATCACTTTGGCAGCCCATGACACTAAAGTATGGTGCAAAGTATTTGATTTATGAAGCACGTGTTGCACATCGAACGCTGCAAAGTAGACACTTAGCCGTACAAGGGGCCAAGGTAATAACCAGCCCCGGAGATTCATTTATGACTGACGTCTAAAAGTTTATGTGTGCCTTTGTCTTTGTCGTTTTTGCCTCTCTGTGTTTTTTTTTTTTTTTGGATGGAAAAACTTTTGACACTTATAATGGAGAACAATTTGCATTTGGGAATTGATAACAGCAGTTTGCTGTAATGTTGCAGCTCCCAGTGTGGAATGAATGCATAAAATAAGTTTTGGAGAACAAAAAAAATGTCCTTAACGAGGTTGAGAGGAATTTTTGAAGAAATGCAGTTAATTTGATAATGTAAATTAGCATGCGAAGAGGAAGAATTACATAGGATATCTCTGTGAGCGGTAAGTGGAGAAGTATTTTCTTTTGTGAAAAAAGTGATTTTAAATAAACAAAATTGTCAGGGTCCATTTTTATACCCTCCACCATACATAGTATGGAGGGTATATTAAGTTCGCCATTCCGTTTGTAACTCATCGAAATAATCATTTTAGACCCAACAAAGTATAGACCTGTCCGTCCGTCTGTTATAATCACGCTACAGGCTAAACGAATTAAGATAGAAAGCTAAAATTTTGCCCAGATCTCTCTTTTGTCTGCAGGCAGGTCAAGTTCGATGATTCTGATGATTTTAGTCACATTTTTCAATGAAATTGTATGAAAATTCACACAAGCAGTTCTTTAAAAGCACTTCATCTCTTGGCAGAGAATTATCTACATAGGTCCACGATATCGTATAGCCCCCATATAACGGTAACCCCCGATATTCGGTATTTTGATGATTTTAGCCACATTTTTCAACGGAATTGTCTGAAATTCTACACAAGGGGTTCTTTGTGAACACTTTACCCACTGGCAGGGAGTTCTCTATATAGGTCCATGATATCGTATATCCCCATATAACGGTACCCCCAGATATTCGGTATTTTGATGATTTTAGCCACATATTTAAACGGAATTGTCTTAAATTCTATACAAGGAGTTATTTATGAGTACTTTATCCCTAGACATAGATTTGTCTATATAGATCCACAATATCGTTTATCCACCCATATATCGGCACCTTCCGAGATTTTAACAGAATCTTTAATGGATTTTATTTTTATTTTTTGAAAATGTCCTAAATCGTTCCAAATGGTGGAGGGTATTCAAAGTTCGGCCCGGCCGAACTTACTGCTTTTTTGCGTGCTGTATTATCACACCCTACACCACATCAATAAATCAGATCAGGGTAAATGCAATAAAACAGTTAAGGGATTTTGTTAGTGCAATGAAGCGTCTTTTTTCAACAATCTTTTAGTCTAGAGCGCACAACAGGCCTATACCAAAAATTAGATATAGCTCACATATATATCTTTGTTCGATTTGTCTTCCATTGTGCTCTAAAAGTGTAAACTTAGCCCAAATATTATGGAATTTGATACATGGGACCAAATTGGGCCTAAAAACAAGTATTGCAAAATTTGGTAAAAATCGGTTCAGATATAGTTATAGCTCCCTTATATAAGTTTTATTAGATTTATTATTTTTGACCCCCACAGCCTTAATATGCACTCCATAACAACGATATTCCGGAAAATATATCAAATACAGGGTGAGATAAAAAAACTGCAATAAAATCAAACGCCATAATTTTAAATTTTTTTTTAAATTTTATTGAATGAAAGCAAAACAATTCGGAAATAGCATCACATTTTAGAATATGTTTAGATTTGTTCAAATTGGCCACTTTTGGTACGAATTATGGCCTTCAAACGGGAAATGAAACCGTCACACGCTACCCGAATGTTGCTCTGCGGTATTTTGGCCCATTCCCGGCAAAGCGCTGCTAGAGGTGATCGACATTTTGGTATTGTTTTGTGCCAACCCTGCTTTCCAAAATTCTCCAGACGCAATAGTCTAACGGATTGGTATCCGGAGATTTTGGTGGCCATTGTGCCCTGGAAATGAAGCGAGGAACCTCATTTTGTAACCATTCATGGGTGGCGCGTGTCTGCGGCCAAAATGTTTGCATGCCCAAGGCTTTAATACACCCTCCAGAATATTTTCGCGATAATATTCGGTACTTATTCTGCCACGCCATCACCATGGCCGCGCTTGAGTTTTGGTTGCCAACAGAAGGTGCATATTTTCAGCTGACCTCTTTGGCAAGTAAACACGATCATTTTGTCTGCTGGACAACGAATGTTTTTTCATCGGAGAAAACCAAATTCGGTCGCTCACCACTTTCGACCAAGCGAATCAACTCTTTAGCTATTTTGAGTCTATTTTCTTTCCGTTGCGGTGTAAGTTCTTGCACTTTTTGTAATCCCAATGGCTTAACCATGATCTCATTTTTTCAATATTTGCCGAATGGAATATTTTTTTTCGACCACTGTGACGCGGGTTTCGATCAAGTCGCTTCTTTACTTTCCGAACCATTTCTGCTGATGTTGCTGTTTTCTTCCGTCCACTTCCTTGACGTCGGGCTAAGCTACCAATATCACGGTAACGAGCGATGGTACGAGACACAAAATATTTATTCACATTTAAATGCTGGATAGCCCCTTGTGGTTTTCCAGCCAAATAGAACACTATCACGCTTGAATTCCATCACGAATAACTTTTTTCTGGAAAATCCTCACCAAAATGCTTTTGTAGGCTTGTAAACAATATAATGAGCTGTCACTGGAATAATTTTAACAGCTGTCGGACGAGTGGCAAAAAATGACAGCAGTTTGAAGTTGGTTGCAGTTTTTTCATCTTACTCTGTACATCTCAGAAATATATTTGCCAAAATTGTATGGAGATTAGTTCAGATTTGGATATAGCTCCTTTTATTTTATTATGGAGCTTTGTTCGATATCAGGTTAATTATGCACTAAATGGCTAATATAAGCCCAAATGAACGGAATTTTGGCACATCCGACTGAATTCATCCCAGAAACAAGTACTTCAAATTTGAAAATAGGTTCAGATATAGCTATAGCTCCCATATGTATGTTTCATCCGATTTGCGGTTTTAAGTCCCTCACATGCATAATATACATTCCACAACATTGTTCTTTGGTACCAGATATCAGAAAAAAGGAATTTTTGAATATTTTTGGGCAATTTAGAGGATAGTCGATTTGGCCATAACTACAGTTGTCACGTCGTTTACGGAATAAAATTTTCAGTCACGCCGAATTTACTTATTTTTTTACAGTTTTAGTTTTAATAAAATTCGTCTCCAAAAAATTATAAAAATTTTGCCACAATAAAGAAATAAAAGTTTATAAATTAAATGAAAAACAAAGATGTACACCAGCTTGAAAGTATGTCCCACGCGCCTGCAAAAGGCAACACAAAAACCAAAAAAAAAAAATACTACAAAAATAATAATCTATTACTTACCAGCTTTCGTCGCTGTGGAGGTCGTTGATGAAGGCGACAATACATTAACATTGCCATCATTGCTGTCATCATCCCCACCGTCACCGTCATTCTCACCACCATCAGCATCAGCATCAGCATCACCATCACCATCACCACCACCATTATTATTGTGATTGGTGTCGGCTGTTGCAGTAATGGGTTGTAGTTCCACAATGTCAGCACTACCAATTCGAGTTGTTGGTGTTGACGACGATGATGATGGACTGCAACTGACTTTGGCCCTATTGTCAGCGATTTCATATTGAAAATTGTTGCCTTTGGATTCAGGCTCCTCGGCATTATCACCATCACCGGGAGCAGCGGGAGTCGAACCATAATCGTCATTATCACTTCCATCTATTAAGACTGCTGTGCTGTTTTTGTCTTGCTTGGCATGGAGATCTTCCATCGTCCCATCATCACCATCATCATCCTCATCAGCAGCATTGTTATTCTGCTCATCGTTGTTGTCGCTGTCATCGCTGGCTTGCCCTTTGATATCGTTGGCTTGGGTGTTTGTTGTAGCTGCTGTTGCTGGTGCTGGCTGGCAAGAACTCTCTACTGTCGTTGTGGTTGTGGTTGCAAACGACCCTTTTGTGGCTGTCACAGATTGCTTGATTGTGTTGGAATTGTCATGCAGCAGCGGCAGCTCCTGGTGCTCCTGCTGGTTTATGGACACTTTATTTGAAACAATTGTAGCTGTTGCTTGGCGCGTTGTTGCATGGCTTGTATCGCCATTCCCGTTGCCGGGTTGTGTTGGTTGTGCTGTCGCCGCCACGGTGGCAAATAACTTGTCATAATCTAGTTGGAATTCCATATTTGCCGACTCATCATAATCTACTGTTCCAGCACTATCGTCAAGGTCCTCCTCCCCCACCTCGGCATCTTCATCTTCTTCGTTGTCATCGTTATTATACTCTTCCCCATCTTCTTCTCCATCATGATTTTCATTTATGTGCAGAGTGGTTTTATTGTAATGATGATGTTGTTGTTGCTGCTGTTGTTGTTTTGTTACCATTTCCGAATCCAACTGTAACTTCTCCAACAGCATGGCTTGTATAAATTGCTCATCATAATGGATTTGGACTTCGGAAATGTCTTCCTCATTGTCGCCCTCCCTTATTTCTTCGTCGCCTCTCTTGTGATTTCTCTTGGGTTTGTAGTAGTCATAATTAATACCTTCCGATGGATCTTCATTCTCCTCAGCTTCACTATCATTGTTGGGATCCTCAGTTTCTGTTTCGGTCTCCACATACTCTTCCTCCTCTTCCTCCTCGACCATAAATTGAACTTTTTTACGGGCCTGAGGCAGGGAAACATAAAATTGGGAAGTGGTAATACCCACAATGTTGCCATCCGTTGCCTGATTGCGCCTAGAGTTGGTGGGGGTACTGGATTTGGAACCACTTTCTTTGGGTTTTGTGGCTGAGGTCGGTGTGGAGGGCGTAGACTTGTCTGTTGCAGAGATCTCACCACACTCAGAGGTCTTCGATGTGGGTCTTTTCAAAATCGATTTGATATTATAGGTTGGCGTTACGGTAACTGTAACCATGGGTTCTTCCTCCTCTGACATTTCTGTGTTGGATTTTAGTTCTTGCATTTCTCCTGGGGGATTGTTGGAGGGGGAAGATTTATTGGACCGGGGAGGTCTTTTGGGTTCCCCATGTACGGAGTTGGCGTTTTGAGTGACCTGCAGAGAATCAGGCCGGTTGGTCTTGCTGTTGGAGGAACCTGGCGAATGTGATGCTGATGTGGATGAGGATACTTCAGTTTCTTTGGATTTTTGTGGGTTAACGCCTTCATTGCTGTTCTGATGTCTCAGGGACTTGGGGGTTTGTCCCGTTTCACCCAGGCTTATACGTTGTCCTGCAATGGCCTGGACATTGGCATAATTGGCCTTTTTATTTTTGTTGGTAATTTGAGACTTAACTACGGATGTGGTTTGGGGTTCTTCCCCCTTCCTTGAGGTTTCATGTTTTTGTTGTTTGGATGTGGTTGTTGTCTGTGCTGTTTGCCTGATAAAAGGCGGCGGTTCATCCTCCAGCAGGGCAGCATCTTGAACATTGAAATCATCATTTGGTGGCATAAACTCATTTTGTGAAAATTGCAACTTTTGTTTTCTAAGGGATTTCTTGTTGTTACCCTCCGTAGGGGGAGGGGTACCTGGACCATGGTTGGAAGGCCCCGAGCTATAGAATTCCCCTGACGAGCCGGCAGGAATTTGGGCATTTATTGAGATCAGGTCATAAGGATTTACATTGCAGCGCAGAATGGATTTACGAGAATGGCTGCTAGAGGAAGCCTGTTGGCCAGAGGCCATATCTTCGGACTCCATTAACCAGGAATCATCGAGTGTTTCCAGGACCTTAGAGCTCTCCTGGCTGGTGTTTACTAAAGCTTTCTGTTGATTTCTGGTACGAGATCTACCCCTTACAGGGCTGGCGCTTTTGCCACGGTTGCGGGACTTATCTTTGGCGCCACTACTGCTGCTAGCCACAGAGGCCTTCGAGGCAGCCCCTGGTTCCGGTGACAACAGTCTGGTGCGGCGCATTAAATCATATGGGTCCTTTTGGGGATCCAAAATTGTGGGTCTTTGCTTCTTACTGCTGCTCACCACGCGCACAGTGGCCGAAGGACCAACGGGCCTTAGTTTCGGCATCATTGGCATACTACCCTGAAGCCGGACGGTACCACCCAAATTGGCCAATGGCAGACGAGTACCCTTACATTTCTTGCAGATACTTGCCTTCTTGAGTGTGCGGCCCTTGGTGCCGCTCAGGTACTCGGGACATGAGCAGAGGACCACCGCCACAGCCGGCGTGGCAGTGGCAGCTGGTGGTGGTCGTTCGGTGGGGGCAAATATGGCAGCAGCATGTGGATGGCCAGCTGCAAAATGGCCATAGGCTGGATGGTAAATTCCCGCCGGTCTAACGGGTACCCCGCGCACAGTGCCATAAATCCATGGCTCAGCTGCATATTTCATGGAACGTCCCGTCATGTAGTCGTACACGGGACCTGCTGCTCCTCCAACCCCACTGCCATGGTATTCGCTCAAAGGTAAATGCATAATGGTGGCTGGTGTTATTTGATATTGCTGGGCAAATGGCAGGGCAGAACGTATGTTTGCATTATGTGCAACGTGAGTTGCCTCAATCGATTGTTGGTGCTGTAGGTGTTGTTGTTGCTGCTGAAACGTAATAGATGTTGGCAAGTTGGGCGTTGTTGGTGAAGCGGAGGATGCTGCAACCGATGCTGTTACCGATGCGGCGGTGCCGGTGTTGTTTGCTGAGATTTGTGATTTTTCGTTTTTATGGATTTTGAGCCTTTGACTCCAGGTCTTCTTTGATTTGTCATACATGGGAATACACTGGAACGAAAGATAGCAAATGTTACCAACTCGAGAAGCTTAGGTAGATTCTGGCTTACCTTATTTGTATTTGTGCATACATAATCCCCTATTGAGATTTCAAGGTTGGATTTTGTGGTTCATGGAAGCAAAACGAAGGCATTGAGGATGATGTCGCTAAAAGCTATGGGAAAAGTAAAAAAAAACAAAAACGAAAAATGCATTAGTTAATGGAATTCCGAAAGTAGAATGTTCAACAGAAGTAAAAATGGAAATTTAATTTTCAATACTTTGGCAATGACCTAAAATTCCATTTGGCATCATTTCGACTCCCCCTCAATCTATCTCTTCTTGAATGCTCTTTGATAACTTGCAACATAATTATAATTTTCCACTTTCCGCTTTCCATCTATTACTTTTCCATTGTTAAATGTAATTCTGGTTTTGGTTTTTAGCTCCAAAGAAGGTAGTGCAAAATTATTGAAAGCGAAAAAAAACTTATTGCTGTGGTGGCATCACCACCTTCGACTCTCCGTAGAACAATAAATAAAATATGCTCACCGCCTCCCCCTCCTCATTTCTCACTTCCTGGCAATGTTTATTTATTATGCCAAACGAAAAATTCTCATTCATTCATTCCTTCCTACAAAGGGAACAAAAATAAAACAAACAAAAGAGAGAGAAAAAACACCATTATTATCCAAAAAGTGGAGTGTAGGGGAAGGATACCTTTAAACATGGCAAGAGAAATGGTTTGGTAATGAGAGACAGCTAAATAATTATTTTTAATAACAGCCAAAGAAAGAGCTTGAGATCTTCCCCTAATGAGAGACAGCTAAATAATTATTTTTAATAACAGCCAAAGAAAGAGCTTGAGATCTTCTTAAGAAAAAAAAACTTTCTCATAGAAGATCAGAAAACTTCTTAAACATATAAAGAAGAGCAGAATATTCGTTTCATATAGAAATCTGATCTTCATAGGAAAGCCAAAGTCATAAAGAAGCATGCTAGAGCTCATCTTTATAGTTCTGCATGTAGAACCTCCTCTGCATAAATGAACATTCAGAAGCTGATATTCAAGGTCCTCTACTTAGAGGAGCAGAAAATAACAGAAATTTGGCATTCTTAAAAAAATTGGTCTTCCTATAGAAGGCCTGAAGATGGAATTCGTAACAAAAGACTTGAAGAAGATCTTCTAAATGTAAGTCCTGAAGAAGGTCTTCTTCATAAAATACCTGAGGAAGGAGATTTCATGATGGTCTTCTGAATGTTGAAGACCTCAAGAAGGTCTCCTGAAAGTAGAGGGCCTGAAGAAGGTGTTTTATATAAAGAAGACCTAGGAAGATATCCTTATTTCGGTCTTCTATTAGGAAGACCTTCTATGACCAGGTAACCAAGACCTTCTGTGAAGACCAGGTCCTCAATTTATAAGATCATATCCAGGTCTTCTATTTTCGGAAGTCGTAGAAGACCTGAAAAACGTTTTCTGAACAGCAAAGATCTGAAGATTGTCTTATAAATTGAAAATAAGACAATTGAAAATAAGGGTTTCTTCGTGGAAGACATGATGAAAATATTCATTGTGATCATAAAATGCCAAAAGAAGGTCTTCTTTACATGAAAGACCTAATAAAGGCGGAAAGAAGGTCGTCGTCATAGAAGATCAAAGAAGATTTTCTCCATATAGGAGAAATCGGATGAAGGTCTTCTCCATATAGAAACCCGGATGAAGGTCTTCTCCATATAGAAGACCTGGAGAAGGTCTTCTTCACATGGAAGACCCAGAGACGGTTTTCTTCACATAGAAGACCTGGAGAAGGTCTTCTTCACATAGAAGACCTGGAGAAGGTCTTCTTCACATAGAAGACCTGGAGAAGGTCTTCTTCACATAGAAGACCTGGAGAAGGTCTTCTTCACATAGAAGACCTGGAGAAGGTCTTCTTCACATAGAAGACCTGGAGAAGGTCTTCTTCACATAGAAGACCTGGAGAAGGTCTTCTTCACATAGAAGACCTGGAGAAGGTCTTCTTCACGTAGAAGACCTGGAGAAGGTCTTCTTCACATAGAAGACCTGGAGAAGGTCTTCTTCACATAGAAGACCTGGAGAAGGTCTTCTTCACATAGAAGACCTGGAGAAGGTCTTCTTCACATAGAAGACCTGGAGTAGGTCTTCTTCACATAGAAGACCTGGAGTAGGTCTTCTTCACATAGAAGACCTGGAGAAGGTCTTCTTCACATAGAAGACCTGGAGAAGATCTTCCTCACATAGAAGACCTGGAGAAGGTCTTCCTCACATAGAAGACCTGGAGAAGGTCTTCCTCACATAGAAGACCTGGAGAAGGTCTTCTTCACATAGAAGACCTGGAGAAGGTCTTCTCCATATAGAAGACCTGGAGAAAGTCTTCTTCATAGAAGACCTGGAGAAGGTCTTCTTCACATAGAAGACCTGGAGAAGGTCTTCTTCACATAGAAGACCTGGAGAAGGTCTTCTTCACATAGAAGACCTGGAGTAGGTCTTCTTCACATAGAAGACCTGGAGAAGGTCTTCTTCACATAGAAGACCTGGAGAAGGTCTTCTTCACATAGAAGACCTGGAGAAGGTCTTCCTCACATAGAAGACCTGGAGAAGGTCTTCCTCACATAGAAGACCTGGAGAAGGTCTTCTTCACATAGAAGACCTGGAGAAGGTCTTCTCCATATAGAAGACCTGGAGAAGGTCTTCTCCATATAGAAGACCTGGAGAAAGTCTTCTTCATAGAAGACCTGGAGAAGGTCTTCCTCACATAGAAGAACTGGAGAAGGTCTTCCTCACATAGAAGACCTGGAGAAGGTCTTCCTCACATAGAAGACCTGGAGGAGGTCTTCTTCACATAGAAGACCTGGAGAAGGTCTTCTTCACATAGAAGACCTGCAGAAGGTCTTCTTCACATAGAAGACCTGCAGAAAGTCTTCTTCACATAGAAGACCTGCAGAAAGTCTTCTTCACATAGAAGACCTGCAGAAGGTCTTCTTCACATAGAAGACCTGCAGAAGGTCTTCTTCACATAGAAGACCTGCAGAAGGTCTTCTTCACATAGAAGACCTGCAGAAGGTCTTCTTCACATAGAAGACCTGGAGAAGGTCTTCTTCACATAGAAGACCTGAAGAAGGTGTTTCGAAATCTTCTGCATTCAAAAGGTATGATGGACGTCATAGGACCCCTAAAGATAGTCTTCTTTATATAGAACACCTGCAGAAGCTCTTCTTCGCATGTAAGACTTGAATACGGTCCTCTTCACACAGAAGTCAGGGAGAACGTTATATTCAAGATCTGCTAAAAATCTTCTTTACAAAGAAGACCTGCAGATGATATTTTGCTACAAGGACTGCTTCATAGAAGGCCAGGATGATTTATTTCCAGTCCGTTAAAAAGGCACAAACCTCTTCTTCTCATAGAAGACGAAGGGTTTCATTCCCAGAGAAGACCAGAACGTTTTCCTCGCATTAAAGGCATTTATGTCTTCTCGTAGAAGACCGCGATAGGAGGAACTTTATTTCTGGATAAAGGATTTTTAAATATTTTGCTTTCAAGATTCGTCCTCCTTTCAATGGCCGGTCTTTCACTCTTAAAGAATTATGGTACTTCTACCTATCACTCACCGAAGATGGAATCGTCTTTTATTTGAAGACTGTGTAAATCTTCTGCAATATATTCGAAATTTCGTCAATTCCATATTCTATGATGGTATACATCTCCCCCAACTCCCTACAACGGAACGCACACTCACATTCATTTGTTTGCATAGTGGCGTTGTGGTCATTCTTTGTCGTTTGTCCCACAACACTTCATGGTTGTCTTATTTCGCTTCCATTTATGGCTATTGCTTTTGCAAAGCCGGATTTCGAGAGTCCTACATTTGAAGTAAGAACTTTTATTTAAGTGTATGTACTTGAACATACATACATACAAACTCGTACGATATATTTTAGTGTCTGTGGGCGGGTGCGTGTGGTGGGTGTACACCAGTGTTTGGTTTGGTCTTTCTTTTGCGTCTTATTCTTTTGCTTTTGGGTTAGTATTTGTTGCAACTTTGTTCTTCTGTAAATCTTATTTTATTCTATCTTTTTTGTGTGCCTGTGTGTCGATTTCACTTTTTTCTTGTGGTTTTTGCAGTTGTTGCTGCTGCCGTTGTGAGCATCTGCGTGGCATATTTATCATCGACAACGAAACGAATGACATTGTTGCAATATCTCTAAGAAAGCTCGATCTGTGAATGTGTACCGGGAGTGAGTGTGTCCATGTGGAGTTAGGTGTGTGTGTGTGAGTGTTTTATTTGTGTATAAAGACCAAGGTTGCATATCCGTTTTTTGTCGAATTGTAAATCCTGTTATTTGTCCAACAAACAAAAGAATAGCCATCCACTGTGGTCTACCATCCACTGCTGGCCGAACACAAAAATTTCCCTGCAATAATTTTAATTTAATGGAATTCGAAGAAGAAATTTATGACTTTCGGACGATTTGTATTGATTACAATTTTGGTTAGTTGTAAGTGCGTTTGTGTGTGTGTGTGTGTGTGTGTGTGGGCGCATGAAAGGCAACCAAAGCATTCTATGATAATTGATTTTTTAAAAGAAAATCGAAAGAAAAAAAAAATAAAAAGAACTAAACAAATGGATCATCTGTTTCTTTTAATTGTTTTTCGTTTTATTCCAAATTGATTTTGGAAAACAAATTACAATTGAATGTTGTAATCAAATATTGTAATTAAATTTTTTGGGAAATAAAAGCTTCACTAAGGAAATTCTATCTATCCATATCGAACCCCTAGTAATAAGAGATGTACTTTATGGAATTAGCATTGCCAAGAATTGGCTGCACGTATCCATCGACTGGCCATGAGAGTATTTGGACTATATTTGAAATGGCTATAATTGTGGGTCTTTATGGCTTACCGGGACTAAATGTTTGCAGACGTATTTTAACTTCCAGAGATTTATTCGTGAATCTTTAATATTCGCGGTCCACTAAGGACGCGAGCTATAATGGTGGATTGATTAAGGATTATCAGGATTAAAATCGTGGTCTTGATTAGGACTACCAGGACTATAATGTAGAATGTTTAAAAAAACAATCGGAATTACGATCGGCAATATTCTAAAGTATTTTAAGGACTAAGGATTATTCAAGGACAATCAAGACTAT